TAGTTGCACTTGCAAGGGTCACTTTGTAGCTTCTATTGATAGGCTTTACTGATTGCAGTTCTCCTGAACCCTCCCATGCCTTCTCTTTAAGCTGTGTATGATTTCTGCTTTCACTGTCACCGGTGATAGTTGCATCATGTACTTGTAGAAATAAAGATTATTTATTTACTTTTGTATATTCCATCCACCCTGAAACTGAAAGAGCACTTCTAACATCTCTGTAGCAATCAGCATCTTTAACTGAAATCTGTCCTTCCCTGGTTCTTTCCTCACATTTCATCTATCCAATCTTCTGGTTTGGAAATCATTATTATATACCCCCTGGTCCCTCTATCTTTTCTATGTTTAGTTCGTTAAGTATTTTCTTGAAGTCCACATACCTTAGTCCTGGCACTAAGGTAAATGGCCTTGCTTTATCAAGTGTGGACTTCATGCTTGCACCACATACCCCATGACATGATTGCCTAACTTGTGTATTATATCCAAATATAAATAACTGAAAGCCGTTCATAGGTTATCAATTGAAATTATAGGGTCTATGTGGAGTTCCATTAATATGCTTGATTTGATGCTTCCAGATCTTTCTTCTTGCACATTGTCTGCATCTCTCTCTTCTTAAGATGTACTGTATGCCATGTCCAGTCAACTCACTCCCACTCATATTTACATCATTTTGCAGTTTTCAGAATTGAGGTATAATAGTCTTTGAATCTCTTTCTTTGCATCTTCCTTAATTACACACCTGCAAATCGTAATACACTAGATTCAGTTTCCTTTGACAGGCAATTCATATACAGCAGAAAAAGCAGAGCTTCAAGCAGTGACCTAAGTTGACACCCATGTCCAGTATGATACTTCCCTCATAACCATCACTTTCTGCCTTCTGTTCACTAGGTATACCCATATCAACTTAAGCACATTTCAGATGTTTTTTTTCCTTGTCACACTGTCATAAAACTAGAAGATTTTTAGGATGCCTATTGTCATCTCTAAAGATGTATAAGTATGTACATGTATTTATTTTAAGGTTATCAATTACTCATGTTTTTTAATACCATAATGTGTGTATCAGTCAGTATAACTTGATCTATAGCTCAGTACTTCCTGTAAATTCCTCTTCTTGTGTTGGAATTTCATTGCAGTTCTCAAGCAGTCTAGCAGTTGCCATTTTCATCAAACTGTACATCCTTGCAGGTTACATAATTCCTCTGCTTCTATTTGTCATACTTTTGTTACCTCTAAATTCATTAGCTCTCTTCCTGTTTTGTCACTGCAACTTTCTCACATCTTTGCTGCTTGCCCCTTTCAGTCATTTTGCAAGTCTTTGGTAAAGATCTTGAATTTTCTATAAAATTTGTTTCATACATTACTTTTCTGTCATACCTAGTCATCTCGTCGCTCTCCTTCTGGTTCCTTAATGTTGTCCATCTTATGTGGTTATGCATTAGCTTGAGTGCTGTTAGCCTTTCTCACAATATATTTGTTTAACCCCTGTTTCAGTTCCTGTCCTTGCATAATCATTTTTAGTTCTGCTTAGTTCCTAGTTTCATGCTACCTTTCTTTTTCTTGTATGATTTTAAATGCCTTTTCACTTTTGCCTCACTTCACTTCTTCATTATTATTATTATTATTATTATTACCAGCACTAAACCTACAAGGGTCATACAGCACTGCAGGGTTGGGTGTGCTAAAGGTGTAATGTGTTTGATTGGAGGCAAGCAAGGGTGAAGAGCATAACAGAAGTATAGGTAGTAAGGACAGTGAGGAGTGTTAAAGGAAATTTAATCAAAGTTGGTGTAATAAATCTGTTGCTGACAAAAAGTCAGAGGGAGTCTGTGTCAAAGGTGGGACCATCAGCAAGGATGGAAGATAAAGTAAGGGTGTTAGAGTGGTGACAATGTTGGAGGTAAATTCTGCATGCCCTCTGGTTGACAGGACAGTCTAATAGACTATGCAAAATTGAAATTTGGATTTGATAGTTCTCAGAATGGCACTAAATGCTTCTCCATGAGATACCCATGAGTGAGACATTTGTGCCCAGTGCAAAGATGGGAAAGCGTAGTCTCCCCACCACGACAGCAATGATAAGAACACCAGAAACCTAAACATGGCTTGACAGAATAATTTATGAATCGACTCGGACCAACATTGTTGCCAGTGGTTGTGAAGGTGGCTAGAGATTACAGCAAAATAATCTGAGAATGGAATACCCCTATATGAAACGTGGAGGTCATGCACAGCTGACTGCTCAGCAGTCTGCTTACTCATTGCCCTGAATATCCACATGACCAGGGACCCAGCAGAAAACGATTTCTTTGTTTTTGCTAGGAGTGCGGCGTAACAAGTTATATAAAGGGGCAAGGCACATTAAATCTTTTGATAGCGTGTACACCTCATAAGCAATGTGCTCGCTCTCTATTCTTTGTATGTATATTCTCCTGCCACACTAGTGCAAGATTCATCAGTAAAAACTTGCATTTGTGATCACAATTAGGCTCATGCTAACCTCTCTGTGGTGCACAGAAATATACCTAGTTGGATGAATCTTATTGTAGCCAGCTGGCTGAGTGGCTTACACAGTGGCCTGGAGTTTTACAACTCATGGATTCAAGCCCCACGCATTTTTTTTTATCCTGCTCCTTTTCTCAAACCTTTTTTAATGTATTCTTAGCATTGCTAGTATCCAAGAGTATACGTATTTGATACTGTCTCTTGTTACTTTTATCTTTGAAAAAGCTATTATGTCAGTTGGTACTATGTATCCCTGTTTACTTTTACACCACACTTTGCTTTTTCTCACTGCTGGGTCACCTTGGAATGTCCTGATTGCCTAAACAGGAATCCAGCAACCCATTTTCAGCTTATTGAGGACATTTTCACATTTGTTAAAAAAAATTACAGTAATGGTTTCTAATTTGAATGGGGAATTTAAGAGTTAGGATTAAATTTTGATTAGATCTGTAATGACTGTAGATCACCAAAGAAAACGAGTTGGGATCGATAATAGCACAATTTTATGTTTTAAATTGGTAATGTTAGCAACTTTTTATATTAAAAGCACTTAACCCATTGACTATCTGTGATCCCATCTTCATTAACATACCAAAATTGGATCTGTTTTTCATTACAAGCCCCTCAAGGGAGGTTCCTTCATGCTGGTGAGAGGCTCTTGATCTAGGGAATTGGATCTGTGCTCCGGTTCCCTGAATCGAGCCTGAATACCTTCCATCCCCCCACATGTGCTGTATAATCCTATGAGTTTAGTGCTCACCCATGATTATAATTAATTCATTACAAAGCTCATGCTAATTATATCCTCATTTATTACCCACTTTGTCAAGTGTAACGGAAGCATGAAGTGATAGCTAATCAGGGGTGGAGTGGCAATGGTGGGGGTTTATCTCTTGTGGGTGGGGGCAGTTGTTTTGTTGGCTGTATGGGAAGGATAAAGAAAATTGGAGATACATGGGTTTTAGGAGTAGAAAGGAGGTGGAAGAACTGGAATAAGCATAGGTGAAATAGAGGGAGAGGAGTGGGAAATGAGGTGATGAAATGGGTATTGAAGAGAAAAGGTAAGAGCCAACAAGAGTGACAAAGAGCAGTAGTGGGTGGCAAAGGAATGAAGTGAGGAAGTTTTTTTTTTAGAATAGTAACAGCATGTGTCAAATTGGTGAGGAGGAGTATGGAAGAAGTGAATGTTTTCAGATACTTGGGAGTTGACGTGTCAGCGGATGGACTTATGAAGGATGAGGGAAAAAAGGTGAGTGGTGCGTTGAGGTATATGTGGAGTCAAAAAAAAACGTTATCAATGGAGGCAAAGAAGGGAATGTATGAAAGTATAGTAGTACCAACACTCTTATATGGGTGTGAAGCTTGGGTTGTGAATGCAGCAGCGAGGAGGCGGTTGGAGGTAGTGGAGATGTCCTGTCTAACGGCAATGTGTGGTGTAAATATTATGCAGAAAATTCAGAGTGTGGAAATTAGGAGAAGGTGTGGAGTTAATAAAAGTATTAGAGGGCTGAAGAGGGGTTGTTTGGTCATTTAGAGAGAATGGATCAAAGTAGAATGACATGGAGAGCATTTAAATCTGTAGAAGGAAGGCAGGGTAGGGGTCGTCCTCAAAAAGGTTGGGGTAAGGGAGGTTTTGTGGGCGAGGGGCTTGGACTTCCAGCAGGCGTGCATGAGCGTGTTCGATAGGAGTGAATGGAGACGAATGGTATTTGGGACCTGACAATCTGTTGAAGTGTGAGCAGGGTAATATTTAGTGAAGGGATTCAGGGAAACCGGTTATTTTTATATAGCCGGACTTGAGTCCTGGAAATGGGAAGTACAATGCCTGCACTCTAAAGGAGGGGTTCAGGATATTAACAGTTTGGAGGGATATGTTGTGCATCTTTATACGTATATGCTTCTAAACTGCTGTGTTCTGAGTACCTCTGCAAAAGCAGTAATTGTGTGTGAGTGAGGTGAAAGTGTTGAATGGTGATGAAAGGATTTTCTTTCTTTTTGGGTCACCCTGCCTTTGTGGGAGACAGCCGACTTGTTGAAAAAAAAAAACGGCATGTGTGTGCTGCTACCCTTCTTTATATCATTCAGTAGTTAGCCACATTTTCCTGTTGTATTGCATCACACAGATTTCAATACTGCATGTAAAATATGCATCCTGTCATCATCCATCACCCCATGTGCCAGTCTCAAGGTTGGCAAGAGCCACCTGCCTCTGCCACTGTGAATTCTTCAGTAGTTTTTTCTTCCTCACCATCAGAGAAGTTTTTTAAGCCACAGTTGAGAGCACTGTCCGATCAGCCGGGCTGTGGTTTGTACATTAGATTGCACGAGACCAAAAGTAACAGCCCAGTTCATCAGGCCCTAATACACCGGGAGGCTTGGTCATGGACCAGGATGGGGGGAGGCATTGACCCCGGAACAACTTTCAGGTAGACTCCAGGTAGGTATACTGCTGAGGTAGTGGAATGAGGACATCCTAGGCAGAGTAAGTGTAAACTTCCCATGCATTCATTTTATTTGCTCTCCCAGAAGTCACACCAGTAACATTTGCTGGCAGTCATTTTTCTCCCAGCATTCTAGTTGCCTTCTCCCCTCAAGAAAGGTTTCCTAATACTAGTGCAGGGCTCTTGATCTAAGAAATTGAACCTGTACTTCCCTCCCATTACCCTTTGAGTTTAGCACTCCCCATGAATGTAATCTAATTTAGTGCCCTTCTATAACATGCATGACTTCTAGTTGAAGGATTCTAACCCACTTTCCCATGGAATTTGAAAAAAAAAATAGGATAAGTTTGTATACACATTCATGGGTAGTGTATAATGAAAATTAGTAGCTGTAAGATTTACCTGTCAGCCTACACGTTTCAAACAAAAAAGACCAGGAATCTTGTCAGAAACATTTAACAGGAGAGTAGCACCTTCCTGGGTAGTCACTGTCTACCAACCTACTAGCTATATATCAAGTATAACCAAAATAAAACACACTTTTACATTCAGATTTTTTTTTTTTAATTCATGCTGCCCTGTAATGTTTCAGTAGTTTAAGCTGAACAAGAAATGTTAAAGTATCTCAACCAAGAACAGTCAAGTAATGCATAGTTAAAAAAAAAAAAAAATCAGACTTTACAGTATTGACACATGCAATTACATATACAATATCTGAACGATTAAGTGTTACACTGCTCAGGTGATTTGTCATTATCCTTAGTAATATGATCATGAAAAAAAGTTTTATATACTTCACTGATTTTACACTCGTGTTGAACCAGACAGCTTTCAATAACCACTTATTATTGTCTCTTACCTGCACTGTATGACCCTTGTAGATTTAGTGCTGCTTTTTTATTATAATAATGTCACTGATGACTATGATGAACTTTAATTACTCTAATTTACTGCAGGTGACTGATATCTATTAAAAATATAAGATCCATATATAACAGAACACCACTCTAAACTTGTGCTACCTTTAGGTCACACTGTTCGGAAACAATACTATACTACTAAATTTTATTTGGCGAGAAAAATTCAATTAAAAGTTGCCCATTTTCCTAAAAAAAAAAATACTGAACAGTTATGACATTTACCTTGCATTTTTTTTTTTTGCCAATGTAATCTAGGCAAGCACCATTAGAACCAGTCCATTTCAGTAAAGCAGAGATTTCACAAAAAATTTAAAGCACAATTTTTTATTTTCTTGATTTTGCTACTTCATATTATATTAAGAAATAAACAGTGTGTGTTTACTTCATGAGTTTCAGCCTGCTTTATGCACTACACAAATACGCCACAAAAGTGACAATACTGAACACTACAAACGCACATCTCGACTGAACAAGCTAACATCACCTACACCAAGAGATAAAACTGTATTGCACAATAGCACTCCATATACCCTTCAAATATTTCTTATCCAGTGTAATGCCAAGTTTAGACAGGAGCAATACTGTAATAATGTCGTGGGTAAACTTACCAGTAAGATGCTACATTAACTCTTGAGAAATATGCACCGGATGTACAATAATGAGCACCAAACAAAAACCTTTTAGTAAGTTTTGAAAATTTACTCTAATTACTAAAACACTGGTCAATGGAGTAATACTGTTAGTGCAGCTTTAAATCTCCAGGAACAGCCTAGCAAGCCACAGGACATCACAGGATTGATTCGATATATGACGTTTTCACATTTAAATGAATGATTATTCTAGATTTTGATGATAAAAAATTTAAGTGAAATGAAAATGATATGCATGTAACATACAAGTAGATCTCTCTACTAACATAGAAAAATCAAATTATGTAGGCTCATACAAAAAATTACCACAAATGTATGTACAAATAAATTGTTGTGCATTTTGAAATATGTACAAATAAATCACAAAAGCAGTATAAAGGGAACTGCAGTAGTACCAATAAAAAAAATACTGATCTGCTTAACAGATGACATAACTTAGAGATCAGCTAAGGTTGTCTTTCATTACTAGAGTTCTGTCAATACCACCAACTCTGATGTCACTACACTGAAACATGCACCATATGTTTTGCATCTTGAAATGATAGGTTTTTACTAAAACCTAGTCATAAATTCAGGTAACAAAATCAGTTCCAATTCAGTACCTGTATTAAAAAGCATCAATATCAACTCTGAGTCCTGTATTTACACAGTTTCTTTTATTTCTGTAAAGAGTAATTTTTCTACTTAAAATCTCATTACATTTTTAACATCTGTTGCTAAATCCACAAAACAGATTTTTCACTACCAGTTGGTCACTCCTTGTGCCACTAGCAAGAACAGCATATTACACACATCCATACTCGTACCAAACAGAATTATCCACAATATCTTTCCCAGTTTTTAAAGGCATATCATCTGTAGGTGGTGGTCGTGGTGGAGGTTTTGGAGGTTTCAGGTCAGGAATGTCAGCAGGTGATGAGTGACTAGAGATAAGTGAATCTGGTTGGATTATGCTGGAACCACGACGAGATCTGGGGGGAACCTGCGGTGCACTGCAAAGGATATGATGAATTAGGCTAAAGAATAAATCTAACAATAAGAATTTTTTTTATCTATGCAAACTGTTAAAGCATCACTACAATACTCCAGATTATCCATAATAATTGGGGCAAGGAGTGTTCAGAAACCAAATCAGATTAGAAATTTGGTGTCCTGTTTACTGACAAAAAAAAAATTTCAAAAATGTATGAGTAACCTTTTTTTTTAATTGTTCTGAAAGTTCAAGGTTGGATGAAGTGTGGAATACATGTATAAGGTCCATATAGTTCATTTACCCTTACAGAAACAAATAATTTTGGCCTTAATACCATTGCATAATTGTATGGAACAAGTGAGAAGAAACAGAACTTAAAGCAGGGAGGGCCATCCTGCAGGGGTTCTATACTCACAGTCCAACCTGAAGACAGACTGTTTGATCAAATTGGTTATTGCTGCCAGCTGTGCAAACTTAAGCCTTACTCTCCTTATTAAAATTATGTACATCTTTACTACTATCATCCTTGAACAGAATCCATAAGAAACTGAAATGATCCTAATAAAAACAAAAATATATTTTACTACAAACCTGGATGCATGATCTGCACGGGGTGGTAGGCGAGGAGTGGTTGGGATGTCATCATCTACAGCTCGTTCTCTCCGAACACCAATCTTGGGTGTTGATGCCTGTGGAGCTGCTCCTGGTGTTGGGGTACTGGGAGTAGAAGGTGGAAGGCTGCTATGAACCCCATTGTAACTCCTACAGAAAAAAATGACCATAAGTACAGTATTAAAATCTAGCTTGAAATTGGGTTCAAAATAGCAGAAATATTTGATTTTTGCCAATTTTCCTGAGGACAGGCAAGGTACCCTACACCCCTAAGCTATTTTATGAGTTTTTAATAAGTCTGATTAAATTATCAGGACACCATAAACCATGACCAATCATTCTTGGTTATATTTTATTAGCTGAGAAATAGGGTAAACCTCCAGTTTTTAGTGTGATTATGAATTCAAAATGGAAGGCAAGTGTAATATATAAGAGGCATGGGGATGTGATTAATAAACAGGAACTGTTGTTTTAGTGCCTGGAATGTCTACATTATTTATTTTAATTTTGTGTATAAATAGCAAAATTACCAACTTCTGTGCATTTTATAAGGGAGTTCTACTAGTTGAATGGGCAGTTTCTTGTGCTCAGTTGATAAAATGGACGGTATACTAGCAAAATAGCTGAGAATTTGGTTGACTGGAGCATTGTAATTGGCTTAGAATAGAACTCAAAGTGGGCAAAATCGCTGATGCATAAATTGTGCCCAGACTGCTAATGTTGTGTCTGTGTAATTACACAAGTTTGATATCAAATTTAGTACTTTTGATGTCATTACCTTGAGAAAAAAAGATTCTCTACTATTTCAGATTTTTTTTTAACGTGGACACTGAGAGCAATGTTAATTTCGGGAATCTGGACAGTGAAAGAGTTAAGAGCATCATAATCACTGAAAATGCTTAAACAGTGTAGCTGTGTCCTTGACTCAAGGTCATTGATTTTGTTTGTGTTAGGACATTTGGCTTTGTACAGAAAGAAACCTCTGATGAAACTGGCTGAGAATATACCAGTGTTAGATATGCCTGTGGTGACACTTGCCCTAGTAGCAAAGTATTTTCAGGCTACTAAGTGAGGCTTTAGTGTATTCATATTTCAAAAATTTGTCTAGACCCCTAACAATGTATCCTCTGTGAGTCTGAAAGAATTACTCCATAGTACTAGTAATAATAATTATTAAAATGTTTATATTCTTGAGCTATACAGAAAATAGTTAAATGTATTAGTACAACAGTAGGCACGAAAGAAAGCCTCTAATTATATAAATTAACACTTATTCCATGCAATAAAAACTGGAAATCTAATAACATTCAAGAAGACCAAGTACCATGTAGCAGGTAAAAAAAAAATAGTAGAAATGCTTTCACGAAAAGGCAAGAAATTTTCATACCTGTTTATCACCTGCTGGCTTAGAGATGCAGAGGATGAGCTGCGAAATGATGCTCGACCACGACTCTGAAATGATATACAAGTAAATTGTAATTGGAAATTCTAATAATGGAATCATTCTACAAACTTACCATTGAATATAATTTTTTTTTTTAAGTGCAAGGTTACTGAAAGGAAAAATATGCATGTTTTCTTTTATCTGGTACAAGAGCAAGAGTAGTAAGTGGTATTCCACAAAATATAGAGCAGTTATTGAGAACATAAGTTGAAGAGATAATATTAATTATAGGGAAAGATGTAAGGAAGAATGTTGTATGACATAGGAAAATATATTTGAGAGAATATTATAGAAATTATGTCTGAAATAGAACATTGTAGGAATTATAGGGAAAAATATGTAAATGAAAGAGTATTTTAGGAATTATAGGGGAAGATGTACAAGACAAAATTATAAGGGAAGATAATTATATGAGAGAACATTGAGTGTATGAGATTAACAATATAGGTGATTTTAGGGAAGGTAAATCATTTTATGGCAAGTGGACCCTTGATTGAGTTTCACACCTCAAATTTTATTGAAAATTAGTACATGGGTTTAGTTTTGGCCAGCTGAATTCTGATGGATGAAACACATCTTTCTACATCAAGAACCATGATCAGATAGATTATACTACTATACTTAGTCCCACTTCATATCTCTTTTTCCTTACTTCCTCAGTGTAGGATGTAACAGTTTGTTTACACCTACACCAGCTTTTGCACAATTCACTGGTCATCACTCTGTTGTGGTGTGCAGGCATCAGACTAGCCCTGGTTATCATCTGAAATCACAACTGGAGAGGACTGTCCTTTAACCCTTTGACTTGCAACCCCAAATCCTGAAGTGTCTCTTCTAGTGTCGAAAAAATTTTAGAAAAAAAAAAAAAAAAAAAAATTCTAATGAAATGATAGAGAATCTTTTCCCGATGGTAATGATACCAAAAGTGTGAAATTTGATCAAAAACTTATGGAATTACGCTCCTGCAAAGTTAGCGATCTCAGCGATATATACGCATCGGTGATTTTGCCGACTTTGAGCCCTATTTTCGGCCAATTCTTTTGTTCCAGTCAACCAAACTCATAGCTATTTCTTTAGAACTCCATTTTTTTCTATCAAATGAGTACAAAAAAACACCCATTTACTGATTTCAACTACCCAATAAAGTGGTCAGAAATTGGCAATTTGGCCAATTTCATGCAAATTAAGAGAGATACCAGTTTCAAAATAGGGCCCAGAATAAACAATGTAGACATTCTTGGTACTAAAATAACATATCCTCTGTTCATTAGTCACGTCTCCAGGCCCCTCTTATATTATTCTTGCTTTCTATTTTGATTTTTTATTCATGCAAAAAAATAGAAGATTTACTGTTATGCAGACTACTGCATTATTGTAAAAATGGTATAAATAATATCAGTGCACTAGTGAAAGAATATTAGACTCCCCAGTTGATGTGTATTGGATGTGTGGTGTGATTTGCTTACTCTTGAACATTGGTAAAAATCGAACATTTCTGCTACTTAGAGCTCAATTTCAAGGTTGTTTTCATCGCAAAACTAATCAAAATAATCTCTATTTCTGTAATATGTTTTCCATTCTATTAAATGAGACCAAGAAAATGAGAATATAACCATAAATACTATAAGAAAATACACCTTAAATTCGGTGTTTTAATCCAAAAACACGGTCGGAGTTTTTTTTCTCATGCACTGTGTGCCGCAGGATTTTTTTTATACAGTGCACACTGACCACACAGACCCATTCTCTCACATGTGGGCCTACCAGCTTTCTCCTGCTTGATTTGAAGCCGCTAAAATTATTGAGTGTATATATACATGTACAGTGGACCTTCGACCAATGATATTAAATTATTGAGTGTATATATACATGTACAGTGGACCTTCGACCAATGATATTAATCCATTCCTGAGAGCTCATCGTTAGACGAAATTATCGTTAGCTGAATTAATTTACCCCATAAGAAATAATGGAAATCCAATTAATCCATTCCAGACAGCCAAAAGTATTAAAATTTATTTTTTTTTTTTTCATGAAATATACATTTCCCTACAAAGAAAAAAAACGAGACATGCACAATAACTATATAAATAAATGTTAAAATGACACTTATCTTTATTGAAGAGTACTGATGAGTGATGAGACACTCTTGAACACTGGGATTTTCAGAGTGATACATGAGTAAAGGCTTCACTTTGCAATCCCCACTAGCATTACAACAAAACATGAGAGTTAGCCTGTCTTTCATAGGCTTGTGTCCTGGGAGTGCCTTTTCCTCCTGAGTAATGTAGGTCCTGTTTGGCATTTTCTTCCAGAACAGGCCTGTTACGTCACAACTGAACACTTGTTGGGGTTGGAATTTTTCAGCTTCGCCATGCCTTATCACACTGTGTATGCCACTACGATTCTTAAATCTCTCAAACCAACCTTTGCTGGCCTTAAGTTCACCAATATAAGCACTAGTTCCAGGCATTTTTTCCAGTTCACCTGGGTGTTGGTTGGCTGGTGTGGGTCGCATCCTGGGGAACAAGATTATCCCTTTCAGGGTCTGTACCATAGATCTACGGCTTTACGTTCAGGGTCCAAACCGTAGATCTACGCCATGAGCTCATCTCACTCTGATAAGCTGTGAGTGGTAAATTTGGGCCTAGATATGAGAGAATACATCTGTGTGGTATGTGTGCACCACATAAAACAAATCCTGCAGCACACAGTGTATAATGAGAGAAAAAAACTGAGACTGATTTTCAATTAAAACAGCGACTTTGCAGTATTTTTTCGTATGTTTTTTATAGTTGTATTTGCGATTTCTTGGTCTCATTTGATAGAATGGAAGACATATTACAGAAATAGAGATGATTTTGATTAGTTTTAGCACTGGAAATGGCTTGAAACTGAGCTCAAAGTAGCGGAAATGTTAAATTTTTGCCGATGTTCAAGAGTGAACAAACGACCTCACACATCTAATACACATCAGCTGGTGGGTCTAATATACGTTCACAAATGTGGTGATGATATTTATACAATTATTACAATATTGTATAACAGTAAATCTTCTATTTTTTGGTTTGAATAAAAATTCAATATGTGAATAAAAGATCAAAATGGAATTCATTTGTAAAGCCTCAAAACATAACTAATGAACAGAGAAAATCTTAGTTTAGTGCCAGGAATACCTACATTGTTTATTCTGGACATTATTTTGAAATTGGAATATTTTGAACTTTGCATTAAATTGGCCAAATTACCAATTTCCGATCACTTTATTTTGTAGTTGAAACAGTTAACTTGGCAATTTCTTGTGCTCAGTCGATAGAATAGAAGTAATATTAGTGAAATAGCTAAGAATTTGGTTGACTGGAATAATGTAATTGGGCTAAAATGGGAGTCAAAGTCAGCAAAATTGCCGATTCTTAAATATCGCTGACACATCAAAATTCGCGAGAGCATAATTTAGTCAATTTTCCATCAAATTTTGTACTTTTTGTTTTATTACCTTCAGAAAAAGATTCTCTACAATTTCATAAGAAAAAATAAAAAAATTTGTTTTTGAAAATTCTTGGACCCTGGTGCACACTTCGAAATTTGGCCTCTGGACCCTGAAAGGGTTAAGGACCCCAATGGAGATAAGTTAGACAGTCCTTGATGACTCACTGACTTCCTTGGGTTATCCTGGGTGGCTAACTCTCTGGGGTTAACCGTTTCCTGGTAATTTTCTCATTAAGCCACACCAACAACAGTCCCTTCACATCTTTGAGTAGTACAGCTGATGGTGGTGCAGCAACAGCTGACGGTGGTGCAGCAGCAGCTGACCGTGGTACGATAGTATTTCAATAGTATTTCTCACCCTTTTTACCACAGGGATGGCACTAGAAGCTTTCTTTGGGCCCACGGTGGCTTATTTAGCAGTTACATGCACTATAAACAATGGAATAATACAAAATGTATCGAATGTATGCATGAAAATTGCCACCCTGGCTTGTAAACAATGACAGCAGGGCAGCTGAGGTGTTCAGGCTGGACAGACAAGTTTGGGACAATTCACGTTGGGCGAGTTTTTTATCGTTAGGCGGGCCAAAATTTTTATGCTCAAACGCTTTGTTGGGCAGATTTAACATTAAGCGATGCGTTCATTAGCCGAGGGTCCATTGTACTACGACACGGAGCTTTCAACAGTGAGGGGGTTAATATCACACTCCAATATATCTTTCTCTGCTTTAAAAATATAATTTTCAACATTAAAATACATATCCCCCTACCTGGTTATCTTGTAGAAGTTCAGGTCCAACATCTCTAGTTGGTATGGAATCTGAATCTTCCATGAGGTATACAGGGCGGCGAGAACCAGCACGGCTTAGTTCACCAGTTCCACTACCAGCTGTTACAGTGGAGAGAGAGTCCTCTTGATGACTATCACTGGCATCACCTGAGCGTACACTTCCTACATCTTCAGATGATACTGAACCTCTGTGAATCAAAGCAAATCTTAAGAAAAAGGGGAATTTTGCAATTCCTAGAAAGATTATATGAGCTTAACCCTACAACTAAGTAAATGTCATTTACATACACGTGTGTGTGTGTGTGTGTGTACTCACCTAGTTGTGGTTGCAGGGGTCGAGTCATAGCTCCTTGCCCTGCCTCTTCACTGGCTGCTATTGGGTCACTCTCCCTGAACCATGAGCTTTATCATATTTCTGCTTAAAACTATGAATAGATCCTGCCTCCACTACATCGCTTCCCAAACTATTCTACTTCCTGACTACTCTGTGACTGAAGAAATATTTCCTAACATCCCTGTGATTCATCTGTATCTTCAACTTCCAACTGTGTCCCCTTGTTGCTGTGTCCCATCTCTGGAACATTCTGTCTCTGTCCACCTTGTCAATTCCTGTCAGTATTTTATATGTCGTTATCATGTCCCCCTATCTCTCCTGTCCTCCAGTGTCGTCAGGTCGATTTCCCTTAACCTCTTCTCATAGGACATACCCCTTAGCTCTGGGACTAGTCTTGTTGCAAACCTTTGCACTTTTTCTTACGTGCACTTTCTTTATGTGCTTGGCTAGATGTGGGTTGCAAAATGGTGCCGCATACTCCAATATGAGCCAAACGTACACAGTGTACAGGGTCCTGAATGATTCCTTATTAACCCTTTCAGGGTCAAGAGGCTCTCTCCTAAACTTGTTCTCAGGGTCGAAAATTTTTCAGAAAAAAAATTTATTTTTTCTTGTGAAAAGATAGAGAATCTTTTCCCGATCATAATGACACAAAAAGTATGAATTTTGATGAAAAACTTAGGGAATTATGCTCTCACGAAGTTAGCGGTCTCAACTATGTTTATGCATCGGCGATTTCGCCCATTCTGAGCCCTATTTACGGCCAATTCCAATGTACTAGTCGACAAAAATCATAATTATTTCGCTAAAACTCCATTTTTTCTATCGTATGAGTACAAGAAACCACCCATTTACCTATTTCAACTATCCAATAAAGTGGTCAGAAATTAGCAATTTTCCCAATTTCACACAAATTTCAAAAGATGCCAATTTCCAAATAGGGTCCAGAATAAACAAGACAGACATTCCTGGCACTAAAATAACATTTCCTCTGTTCATTAGTCACGTTCCTAGGCCCCTATCACATTTCTTTTTCTTTCCACTTTGAATTATTATTCTCACAAAAAATAGAAGATTTACTGTTATGCAGACTACTGCATTAGTGTAGAAATGGTATAAATAATATCAGCGCACTTGTGAAAGAATATTAGACTCACCAGTTGGTGTGTATCAGACGCGTGGCATGATTTGTTTACTTTTGAACTTCGGCAAAAATCGAACATTTCTGCTACTTTGAGCTCATTTTCAAGGTACTTTTCATTGTGAAACCAATCAAAATCATCTCAATTTCTGTAATATGTCTTCAATTCTATAAAATGAGACCAGAAAAACTAGAATACAACCATAAATACCATACATAAATACAGTGCAAAGTTGCTATTTTAAACCAAAAACACAGTCAAATTTTTTTTTTCTCATTACGTACTGTTTGCTGCAGGATTTTTTTTTATACTGTGCACACTGACCACATAGACCCATTCTTTCATATGTAGTCCTACCAGCTTTCTCTCACTAGATTTGAATGCGCATAAGCCGTACTGGTACGTCGGAAACCCTGAAAGGGTGGTCTGGTGGCTAAAGCTCCCACTTCACACACGGAGGGCCCGGGTTCGATTCCCGGCGGGTGGAAATTCCGACACGTTTCCTTACACCTACTGTCCTGTTCACCTAGCAGCAAATAGGTACCTGGGTGTTAGTCGACTGGTGTGGGTCGCATCCTGGGGGACAAGATTAAGGACCCCAATGGAAATAAGTTAGACAGTCCTCGATGACGCACTGACTTTCTTGGGTTATCCTGGGTGGCTAACCCTCCGGGGTTAAAAATCCGAACGAAATCTTATCTTATCTCTCTTAAGATGGCGGAATGCTGTTCTTAGGTTTCCCAGGCGCCCATATGGTGCAGCAGTCATTTGGTTGTGCACCTCAGGAGATGTGCCTGGTGTTATAATCACCCCAAGATCTTTCTCCTTGAGTGAGGTTTGTAGTCTCTGGTCCCCTAGGCCGTACTCCATTCTGCGGTCTTCTTTGCCCTTCCCCAATCTTCATTACTTTGCACTTGGTGGGGTTGAAATCCAGGAGCCAGTTGCTGGACCAGGTCTGCAGCCTGTCCAGATCCCTTTGTAGTTCTGCCTGGTCCTCGTCTGGTTGAATTCCTCTCATCAACTTCACATCGTCTGCAAACAGGGACACTTCGGAGTCTATTCTTTCCATCATGTCGTTCACGGATACCAGAAACAGGACCGGTCCTAGGACTGACACCCACTCTGACACCTCACCTCGTACCATGACTCGCTGCTGTCTTCCTGACAGGTATTCCCTGATCCATTGTAGTGCCTTCCCTGTTATCCGTGTACTCACCTAATTGTACTCACCTAATTGTGGTTGCAGGGGTCGAGACTCAGCTCCTGGCCCCGCCTCTTCACTGATCGCTACTGGATCCTCTCTCTCTCTGCTTCCTGAGCTTTGTCATACCTCTTCTTAAAACTATGTATGGTTCCTGCCTCCACTACTTCACTTGCTAGGCTATTCCACTTGCTGACAACTCTATGACTGAAGAAATACTTCCTAACGTCCCTGTGACTCGTCTGAGTCTTCAGCTTCCAGTTGTGACCCCTTGTCCCTGTGTCCCCTCTCTGGAACATCCTATCTCTGTCCACCTTGTCTATTCCCTGCAGTATCTTGTATGTCGTTATCATGTCTCCCCTGACCCTTCTGTCCTCCAGTGTCGTCAGTCCGATTTCCCTTAACCTTTCCTCGTACGACATTCCCTTGAGCTCTGGGACTAGCCTTGTTGCAAACCTTTGTACTTTCTCTAACTTCTTGACGTGCTTGACCAGGTGTGGGTTCCAGACTGGTGCTGCATACTCCAGTATGGGCCTAACATACACAGTGTACAGTGTCTTGAACGATTCCTTATTAAGGTATCGGAACGCTATTCTCAGGTTTGCCAGGCGCCCGTATGCTGCAGCGGTTATTTGGTTGATGTGTGCCTCCGGTGATGTGCTCGGTGTTATGGTCACCCCAAGGTCTTTCTCCCTGAGTGAGGTCTGTAGTCTTTGTCCACCTAGCCTATACTCTGTCTGCGGTCTTCTTTGCCCCTCCCCAATCTTCATGACTTTGCATTTGGCTGGATTGAATTCGAGAAGCCAGTTACTGGACCACATGTCCAGCCTCTCCAGGTCTCTTTGCAGTCCTGCCTCATCCTCGTCCGATTTAATTCTTCTCATCAACTTCACGTCATCTGCGAACAGGGACACTTCAGAGTCTATTCCTTCCATCATGTCGTTCACATATATCAAAAATAGCACTGGTCCTAGAACTGACCCCTGTGGGACCCCGCTCGTAACAGGCGCCCACTGTGATACCTCTTCACGTACCATGACTCGTTGCTGCCTCCCTGTCAGGTATTCCCTTATCCATTGCAGTGCCCTTCCTTTTACGTGTGCCTGATCCTCCAGCTTCTGCACTAATCTCTTGTGGGGAACTGTGTCAAAGGCCTTCCTGCAGTCTAGGAAAACGCAATCTACCCAACCCTCTCTCTCATGTCTTACTTCTGTTACCTTGTCATAAAACTCCAGGAGGTTTGTGATACAAGATTTGCCTTCCATGAACCCATGCTGGTTTTCATTTATAATCTTGTTCCTTTCCAGGTGTTCGACCACTCTCCTCCTGATAATCTTCTCCATGACTTTGCACACAATACATGTCAGAGACACAGGTCTGTAGTTTAGTGCCTCGTTTCTGTTTCCTTTCTTAAATATGGGGACTACATTAGCTGTCTTCCATTTCTCAGGTAGTTGCCCAGTTTCAAGGGATGTGTTGAAGATTGTGGTTAGAGGCACACACAGCATCTCTGCTCCTTCTCTAAGGACCCATGGGGAGATGTTGTCCGGTCCCATCGCCTTTGAGGTGTCAAGGTCACTTAAGAGCTTCTTCACCTCCTCCTGAGTTGTTCGTATGTCATCCAACACTTGTTGGTATATTCCCTCTTGATGTTCCCTTCTGTTCTGTCTTCCCACAGCCCTTCCTGTCTCTACTGTAAAAACTTCCTTAAATCTCCTGTTCAGCTCCTCACATACCTCCTGATCATTTCTTGTGAGTTCTCCACCTTCTGTCCTTAATCTGATCACCTGGTCTTTGACTGTTGTCTTCCTCCTGATGTGGCTATACAACAGTTTCGGGTCTGTCTTGATTCTCGATGCTATGTCATTTTCATACTGTCGCTGGGCCTCCCTCCTTACCTGTGCGTACTCATTCCTGGCTCTGCGACTGATCTCTCTATTTTCGTGTGTTCTCTGCCTTCTGTACTTTTTCCATTCTCTATTGCACTTTGTTTTTGCCTCCTTACACCGTCGTGTGTGTGTGTGTGTGTGTGTGTGTTTGTGTACTCGCCTATTTGTGGTTGCAGGGGTCGAGTCATAGCTCCTGGCCCCGCCTCTTCACTGATTGCTACTAGGTCCTCTCTCTCCCTGCTCCATGAGCTTTATCAAACCTCGCCTTAAAACTATGTATGGTTCCTGCCTCCACCACATCACTTTCTAGGCTATTCCATGGCCTGACTACTCTATGACTGAAGAAATACTTCCTAACCTCCCTTTGATTCATCTGAGTCTTCAACTTCCAATTGTGACCTCTTGTTTCTGTGTCCCATATCTGGAACATCCCGTCTTTGTCCACCTTGTCTATTCCGCGCAGTATTTTATATGTCATCATGTCTCCCCTGACCCTCCTGTCCTCCAGTGTCGTCAGGCCGATTTCCCTCAACCTTTCTTCGTAGGACAATCCCCATGCTAGGTGCCCTAGTGGCCCCCTCTGCAATTAGTATTTTATAACATGTAAACCACACAATACCCAAAACCTGTAAACCCCACATTGTAACCCTTATAGAGAATAAACTAAACTTGAATTGAATTGAATTTCTGCCAATAGTTGTTTATATCTCATTTTAACTTTCTCCTCCCTTAGTTTATACACCTTCACCTCTCTCTTACTTGCTGTTGCTATTTTCCCTTTGTCCCATCTACCTCTTACTCTAACTGTAGCTACAACTAAATAATGATCCGCTATATCAGTTGCCCCTTTATAAACATGTACAGCCTGAAGCCTACCCGTCAACCTTTTATCCACCAATCCATTATCTAACAAACTACTTTCATTACGTGCTATATCGTACCTTGTATACTTATTTATCCTCTTTTTCATAAAATATGTATTAAAATTCCAGAGTGTTCAAGAAAAACAGTGTCTCATCACTCATCAATACTCTTCAGTAAAGGTAAGTGTCATTTTAGCATTTATTTACGTAGTTATTGTGCATGTTTCATTATATTCTTTGTAGGAAAATGTATATTTCGTGAAAAAAATTGTTTTGTTTTTTTAATACTTTTGGTTGTCTGGAACGGAATAATTGGATTTCCATTATTTTTTATGGGGATAAATTAATTTGACTAACGATAAATTCGCCTAACGATAAGGTCTCTGGAATGGATTAATATCGTTGGTTGAGGGTCCACTGTATATTATATATACAGTGGAACCTCTACTTGCGAGCGTGTCCACGTGCGAGTTTTTCCAAATACGAGCAGTCGATGGGTCGATTTTTTGCTTCCATATGCGAGCAAAATTTCCACAAGCGAGCAGACCTCAAGGCAGGTTCCTTGACACTGGTGAGAGGCTCTTGCTCTTGATCTCGGGAATTGTATCTCATTTGTTTGTTGGGCTATCTTATTGAAACTTGGGCACCCCTTATTGGTAATTTTGAATGGTTTTTATGGTTGTATTCTCGTTTTTTTGGTCTCATTTGATAGAATGGAAGATATATTACAGAAATAGATATGATTTTGATTGCTTTCACGATGAAAAGTACCTTGAAATAGAGCTCAACCTAGGAGAAATGGTCCATTGCTTGGCTGTTTCAGTGTGAACAAATGACGTACATCACAGTAAATCTTATATTTTTTGTGTGAATAAAAAATACAAATTATTTATATAATAATAATGATAATAATCCTAGGTAGTAGGTTGGTAAACAGCAACCGCCCAGGGAGGTACTACCGTCCTGCCAAGTGAGTGTACAACGAAAACCTGTAATTGTTTTACATGATGGTAGGATTGCTGGTGTCTTTTGTCTGTCTCATAAACATGCAAGATTTCAGGTATGTCTTGCTACTTCTATTTGCACTTAGGTCACACTACACATACATGTACAAGCATATATATATATATATATACATACACACACCCCTCTGGGTTTTCTTCTATTTTTTCTAGTTCTTGTTCTTGTTTATTTCCTCTTACCTCCATGGGGAAGTGAAACAGAATTCTTCCTCCGTAAGCCATGTGTGTTGTAAGAGGCGACTAAAATGCAGGGAGCAAGGGGCTAGTAACCCCTTCTCCTGTATATATTACTAAATGTAAAAGGAGAGACTTTCGTTTTTCCTTTTGGGCCACCCCACCTCGGTGGGATACGGCCGGTGTGTTGAAAGAAGATGAATAATAATAATAACAGTAATAAAAATAATAATGAAAGAAATCTAAGCATAAATAATGGAGTTCACTTCTCAGCAATTAGCCACCCCTTAGTGATAATTTCAAATGGTTTTTATGGTTGTATTCTCGTTTTTTTTGGTCTCATTTGATAGAATGGAAGATATATTACAGAAATAGATATGATTTTGATTGCTTTCATGATGAAAAGTGCCTTGAAATTGAGCTCAACCTAGGAGAAATGGTCCATTGCTTGGCTGTTTCAGAGTAAACAAATGACGTCACTGTAAATTCCAATATGCAGTCGTGAATGGGTTGATATTATTTATACAATTATTGCAATAAGGAATAACAGTAAATCTTATATTTTTTTGTGTGAATAAAAATTACAAATAATTTATATAATAATAACGATAATAATATGAATAATAACAATACGTATAATAATAATAATATAATGTGTAATAATACATATATAATAATAATGTACTACATATAATAATTATAATAGACAGCTTCAAAAGGCCGTCGCTAGATGGCAGTGTTTACCACAACAAAGAGGGAGCGGTTGTGGCCGCCTCCACCTGTTACATAATGACATATTTTATTCATTCTAGAGTGTATATCGTGTTTCTATGTTATTTATATTGTCTGTTATGTCATATTAGATGAACTGTGATATATAAATAAGCCATATAGATGATATTAGCGAAATTATTCATGAAGTATTTTGCCCGGTGTCCAGACAAACTCTCGTCCACCGCCGACACCACCCATACCACTACATGAATGACATATTTTATTCATCTTAGAGTATATATCAGGTTTCTATGTTATTTATATTGTTTATTATGTCATATTAGATGAAGTGAGATAGATAAATAAGCCTTAGAGTTGATATTAGCGAAATTATTGAAGTACTGAATTCCACTGGAACGGATTAATTGCATTTCAATTAATTTAAATGAGGAAAATTGACTCTGCAAACGAGCAAATCCAGTTGTGAGCAAGGCCATGGAACGGATTAAACTCGCAAGTAGAGGTTCCACTATATATATATATGCTTGTACATGCATGTGTAGTGTGATCTAAGTGTCATACCTGCAGCCTTGCATGTTTATGAGACAGAAAAAGACACTAGCAATCCTACCATGCAAAACAATTACAGGCTTGTGTTTCACATTTATTTGGTAGGATGGTAGTAGCTCCCTGGGTGGTTGCTGTCTTATGAACAGCATTTAAATATATAGTCATTTGGTGGGGTTTTATGTGTTAGGTGCAATTTAGTCAAGAAATGTGGACATTTAAACTACAATTGTTGGGGGAGATGTTCAGATTTTATTTTTGTTATTTTGGTTCAAATGTAATATGAAAATACCCATTGTTGGTGTATTCTATCATTGGTAAAAAAAAAAGTTCAACTCATTCCTGTAAGATAGTTTACAGGTGTGCCTTTCTCATCTTGGTACTGTGAAGGCAGCCAGTAGAACATGACGTCTGGTTAATCAGTGTACAGTTAAAATACCTACTGTACTTAGATAATATTCTTCACTCGATTTATTTATACTATGTATGACCCTTGTGGGTGTAGCACTTGATTATATTAATATACTATAAATATAGGTTGATTTTAATTACTCCATATGTTTCAGTGTATGATATTCAAGAAGCAAAACAACACTAGGCAGGAAAACTCCCTCTTTGCACTTTGATATTGTAATAATGTTGGTAGAATTACCGACAAGATGTAAAGAAGGCGGGGTGTTAATGTTGCAGTTTAGTGTAAAGCACCCTTCTGGTAAGTGAGTGATGGGGAAAGTTTTTATTTTTCGGGCCACCCTGCCTTGGTGGGAATCGGCCAGTGTGCTAATAAAATAAAAAAATGTAAAGTAAAATGTCACATTAGTTGCACTTGTGTCGTTTTACTTTACACATTGATATTCTTATCATGCTAATGTAGATGTTTGTATTTTGATCGTTTTCCTCTGAGTATCAACTAGTTAAGTCCTATATTTTATCGTATCATTAAATAATTTTTTTTTTTCACGGAAAATGATTTGTGCCCACTTGAATGACAATAGGAGGGACCTGGTATATGTCTGCTCATTCTACATGCTTTTGCTAGACCAAAACATATCTACTTATCACTACAATGATAAGAGTCTGTACAATTAAAACGATAATCTACAACTATTATGTCTGCCATATGTACTTTTCACATCAGGAGGATCCAGACACATGTCTGCTCTTTTTCACAAACATTTTATTAAAACTGCTCTCACTACTTGCAAAATTGTTATAAGATTGCAAGCAAACCACGAAATGGGTGGGGTCTGAACTCATGGCAAGCAAGTCCTAAAACTCCAAGCTACAATAAGATTCATCCAACTAGGTATAGGTCTATACACCATAGGAAGGTTAGCATGGGGTCCCACTGTAACCACAAATGTATATCACCACTGTAGTATAATACTGTGTTACTAAACAACCTTCCTGGTAGAGCAAACTAAAAGTAGATATTGTTTTCTGGATATAAATTTGATTCAAAAGACCAAGGATGTTCATTCAAAATCACATGAGATTAAAACCACAGAAAATCCATTAATTTACAGTAAAGATAATGGCCAAGTCAGAAACTAGACCACAGGAGCAGGGATGCTTGGAATCATAATGAGGAAAAAAAAAAGATAAAATGTACAGAAATGCTAAAAATTTATTTAAATTACAAATGACTGCTACTTTTTATATGCACATTTATGTTCATATAAAGATAGAAATAAAAGTAAGAATAACTACTAAAACACCAATAATTGAACAATATACATAGTTTAAGTAGAATTTCATCATTTTTTTTTACTTTTAAACTTATGCTTCTAGGTTAGGTAAAAACAAGCCATTGCAAAAGTGACATGTGAACAAACTAAAAACTATACCTGAGAATTTGAGAGACATAGTTATCACTGAGTGCAGGGGGTAAACTTTTTCTATACTGATCTGATATTTGCAAATTTCCTGGTGTTCTTAGTTCTCCACCCTCTCCTTCATGTGATGGGGAAGGTGGCAGGTTGGGTGATGATCGACGAGTCTCTGAACCAGAATCCATAGAATCATTGGCATGTGATGAAGACCCCAGTGATGATGAGTCCGGACTCTCCCCCCCCTCTTCACGGCCACGAGACCTTGAGCGACCAGTCTGAAATTAAAAAATAACTGTCAATGAACAGACAAAATTTACATTAAATTCATGTGCACAATAAATGAACGTTATATGAGAAGCATTAATCGCACTGATAAAGGGTCATATAGCACCTACAACAGCTTTATATCTCAGACACTTCCATCCAGAGAGTGGGCATGAGAGAGAAGCCTACAAATAGTCCTATCAAAATATGACATTTCAGCTTATGCTATCACAAGAGTTATGTACCAAAGTCTATATAAGCCTTCAATTTTTTTGTTCCAGCACCAGCCAGTTCTTTTTGAAAATGATACCAGCAAGATTTTTTCAAATTCAGCTATGTACATTTGTCATTATCCATAGTAAATGATGAACTAAAAATTTACTTAGATAACCATAAATTAATGCTGAATGTACATATCAGATCACTTTCTAGTTGTAGCTACACTGAGGGTAAAGGAGAATAGAAGTATCAGGGAAGAGAGAGGTGAAGGTTTATAAACTAAAAGAGGAGGCAGTTAGGGTAAGATATAAACAGCTATTGGAGGATAGATGGGCTAATGAGAGTATAGGCAATGGGGTCGAAGAGGTATGGGGTAGGTTTAAAAATGTAGTGTTCAGCAGAAGTTTGTGGTTACAGGAAAGTGGGTGCGGGAGGGAAGAGGAACGATTGGTGGAATGATGATGTAAAGAGAGTAGTAAGGGAGAAAAAGTTAGCATATGAGAAGTTTTTACAAAGTAGAAGTGATGCAAGGAGGAAAGAGAGAGAGGTTAAGAGAGTGGTGAAGCAGGGTAGAGAGAGTGGGTGAGATTAACAAGTTAAGGAAGCCTAGAGAACAAATGGATTTGTCAGTTAAAAATAGGAGAGGAGAGTTATTAAATGGAGAGTTAGAGGTATTGGGAAGATGGAGGGAATATTTTGAGGAATTGTTAAATGTTGATGAAGATAGGGAAGCCGTGATTTCGTGTATAGGGCAAGGAGGGATAACATCTTGTAGGAGTGAGGAGCCAGTTGTGAGTGTGGGGGAAGTTCGTGAGGAGTAGGTAAAATGAAAGGGGGTAAGGCAGCCGGGATTGATGGGAAAAAGATTGAAATGTTAAAAGCAGGTGGGGATATAGTTTTGGAGTGGTTGGTGCAATTATTTAATAAATGTATGGAAGAGGGTAAGGTACCTAGGGATTGGCAGAGAGCATGCATAGTTCCTTTGTATAAAGGCAAAGGGGACAAAAGAGAGTGCAAAAATTATAGGGGGATAAGTCTGTTGAGTATACCTGGTAAAGTGTATGGTAGAGTTATTATTGAAAGAATTAAGAGTAAGACAGAGAATAGGATAGCAGATGAACAAGAAGGCTTTAGGAAAGGTAGGGGGTGTGTGGACAGGTGTCTACAGTGAAACATATAAGTGAACATTTAGATAAGGCTAAAGAGGTCTTTGTGGCATTTATGGATTTGGAAAAGGCATATGACAGGGTGGATAGGGGGGCAATGTGGCAGGTGTATGGTGTAGGAGGTAGGTTACTGAAAGCAGTGAAGACTTTTTACGAGGATAGTGAGGCTCAAGTTAGAGTATGTAGGAAAGAGGGAAATTATTTCCCAGTAAAAGTAGGCCTTAGACAAGGATGTGTGATGTCACCGTGGTTGTTTAATATATTTATAGATGGGGTTGTAAGAGAAGTAAATGCGAGGGTCTTGGCAAGAGGCATGGAGTTAAAAGATAAAGAATCACACAGTGGGAGTTGTCACAGTTGCTCTTTGCTGATGACACTGTGCTCTTGGGAGATTCTGAAGAGAAGTTGCAGAGATTGGTGGATGAATTTGGTAGGGTGTGCAAAAGAAGAAAATTAAAAATGAATACAGGAAAGAGTAAGGTTATGAGGATAACAAAAAGATTAGGTGATGAAAGATTGGAGGTGAATGTATTCAGATATTTGGGAGTGGACGTGTCAGTGGATGGGTCTATGAAAGATAGGGTGAGTGGTGCACTTAGGAGTCTGTGGAGGCAAAGAGGGGAATGTATGAGAGTATAGTTTTACCAACGCTCTTATATGGGTGATGAATGTTGCAGCGAGGAGAAGGCTGGAGGCAGTGGAGATGTCATGTCTGAGGGCAATGTGTGGTGTGAATATAATGCAGAGAATTCGTAGTTTGGAAGTTAGGAGGAGGTGCGGAATTACCAAAACTGTTGTCCAGAGGACTGAGGAAGGGTTGTTGAGGTGGTTCGGACATGTAGAGAGAATGGAGTGAAACAGTGTGACTTCAAGAGTGTATCAGTCTGTAGTGGAAGGAAGGTGGGGTAGGGGTTGGCCTAGGAAAGGTTGGAGGGAGGGGGTAAAGGAGGTTTTGTGTGCGAGGGGCTTGGACTTTCAGCAGGCATGAGTGAGCGTGTTTGATAGTGAATGGAGTCAAATGGTTTTTAATACTTGACGTGCTGTTGGAGTGTGAGCAAAGTAACGTTTATGAAGGGGTTCAGGGAAACTGGCAGGCCGGACTTGAGTCCTGGAGATGGGAAGTACAGTGCCTGCACTCTGAAGGAGGGGTGTTAATGTTGCAGTTTAAAAACTGTAGTGTAAAGCACCCTTCTGGCAAGACAGTGATGGAGTGAATGATGGTGAAAGTTTTTCTTTTTCGGGCCACCCTGCCTTGGTGGGAATCGGCCAGTGTGATAATAAATAAATAATATATTTACTGTAAGACAAGAAAGTTAAAAGCCTCAGCTTGCACACAGACAAACTGAAATTTAATACACATCAAACAGTAGGCTTTCTCTGTAAAATACCAGTATGCTATTGTGTTTCTCAACCAACACTCAAACACTACTATACCCATGGGTACTTATGATAAAAGTATGTGCATGGGAATCTAAACTATGACCCTTGTAGGTTTAACACTTGTGATTTTTAATGCAGCGCTGTATGACCCTGGTGGGTTCAGCGTTTTGTTTTGATTATAATAATAATTATCATTTTTGTTTTTTTAACAAATCATCCAAAATCAACTATAACAAATATTACCATATATCTGACATCAAAAAAAATATTTAAAAAACACCAGACATACCACTGAACATTTTACACCTACCCGAGGTACTTTGTTGATGAGCTCAGTCCCCGCTTTTCTCACACGGCGAACCAGATTGGAGCCAAAACCTTTCCTAAGAAGTTATATTTGATTACTTAAAATATCAGAATGCTTAATTGTTCTGCTTCTAAACCTTAATTATTCATTAGGCTTCTGAGATAATTTTAAATTACACAAAAATCTAAAGATATGCATTAAACTTTACTGACAAATTTCATGATTAGTACTTCAAAACTATTGCTATCAGACAAGTTTAACCTTCTTCTGTAAGGAGAATAGTAAAATATGTTGTTGACCAAATCAGATTAACCTCATTCTTGAAAGTCAGATTCCAATTAATTCTACTAGAAAAAGAATACACACACACACACACAGCATGCAACAAGGTAAAGATATCTGATGCCAATAATTATTGAGCAACCATTAATCAACTGATTTAGTAAACTGTGAAAAATGTGAGAAAAAGTGCTCAAGTACTACAGAAAAGATGTACAATACTCTGTTCTACCTCAAGCACAGTGAAACCAACCTTTATCTTATTCTAACTTGCCCCTCTGTACTCTCAGATGTCTCATACAAATTATAAATGACATGAAAAAGTGCAGAAGTGTAATTATAAGCCAGTATTACATCTGAATAGATAAATGGCCCTTGATGTGTACACAAAGTGGTATGGAAAGGAAATCATTATCATACAATTATTATATCTATAAGTTTAATAGTTTTTTGGGGAAATGTCAAATCAGAGTGCTTGTATGACAATAGTTTTCCTACAACTTAACATTATATTCATAGTACATCCTACTTGCTGGTTCTTTACTGTAGTATTACTCCAAGTAATGCTGAAATATTTGTATTTCAATGTCTCTGCATTTATTTTAATATATCTTTCAAAAATACACACACACAAAAACAAAAGAATGCATGCATACACAATCACACATGTAAATATATATATACACAAACCCAAATGAACACATAAAACCATGAAAAGATGTACAAAATCACGTACTCTCCTAGACACAGGAAAGTAGAACAAGAGGTAATATAATCACAGCTCAAAATAATCAAGTTGATAATGTTAAGATCAGACAAACTGAAAACCAGGGGCTTTCCCCAGTGTATGAAATGTCACCTAATATATAGAAAGTGAGTAATTTGGGGGAATAATTGTTTTTGAGAAATCAAGTCACAGAAACATTACAATTAAAACTAAATCCTAAGCCCACAAGAGTCATACAGCACCGACACTATGGAATAGTGCGTGAATAAATAGTAAAATTATTAGAGAATCTAAGAGCACTTTTAAAAAAAGTCACCAGAAGATCACTAATGCTATCAGAAACTTCAAAATAACCTCTCAATATCTGGATTGTGAAATGATAAATGTTCACAATATATGTTATACTTAAATTGGACTCTAAAGTGGCAATTTGAACAAGAAAAATCCAAAAGCTTGCTACACACTAGCTTCCAGAGCTTCAAAAAACTGGAAACAGGATACATAACCATATAAAATAATACTTTATAAGAAAATACATAGGAAATGTTAGTGCCATTGAAAGGGGCACTATGAGGCCATAAATGTCATGTCTATGCATTTAAGTGATTGTGACTGTTTCCTTTTGTGATTACTTTATGTTGGTGGGATACTGACACGAGAGTGTGTCAGAATTACATTAGAAATTTTTTGTTGCTAATATTGTTAGAATACAAGGATGGGATACAAGATTAGGAACTGTGCACACCTATAATACAACATTTCTCCTAATATTTGTTAATTAAGAAAGTCCTTTTTCCTCAAGTAAACTGATGACTTTTTAACAAATAGGTTGTTTCCCACCATGGCAAGATGAGAAAAAAAAAAAAGACACATCTCCCCATCACTCATTCTTTAAATATCTTGGAGTTTAGAGACATACAGCTCAAATAACTGGATTGTAATATGTGACCCATCCTCAGAGTATAGGCACTGTGCTTCCCACCTATAAAATTTAAATCATCTAACTGCTTTTCCCAAATCCCTTCATAAATGTTACTTTGCTCACACTCCAACAGCAGATTCAGTCCCAAAAATCACTTGTCTTCACTCACTCCAATTATAGATATGGCAAATAACTGACAGTAGATATATTTGTAAATTGGGCTGAATAAAATGAGAATGATTTTGTCTAAATGTACAGGATTAATGCAACATCAAATTTTGAGAAATATTTAAAAAAAAAGTACAAAAGTGAACAATAGCAAGATGACAATTTTTTTTTTTTAAGACTGCATGAAGGTGTTAAATACTGTACCCCTTAACAGGTTGGGCCAAAAATTTGAAAGTCAGGCAGGAGTAACAGGGAACATACTCTCTTAGAGGAAAGAAGCAAAGAGTGTCAGAATGAGGAAGAGTAACTAGCGGGATTCCACAAGGATCGATATTAGGACCAGCACTATTTTTGGTTTATGTGAATGACATTTCAGATGAGATTCACATATATCTTTGTTTGCTGATAATGTAAAACTAATAAGGTGAATAAAAGCAGACGAGCACACAAAAAGGATCTGGACAAATTGTAGGGGTGGTTAGATATGTGGCTGTTTGAATTCAGTCCTAGTAAATGCAAGGTCATGAAGATAGGGGAAGAAGCAAGAAAACCAGAAATGCAGTATAGACTAGGGACACAGAGGCTGCAGACTTCACTCAGAGAGAAAGACCTAAGGGTGAGCATATTGCCAGAGGCTCACAGTCGAAAAACCTCTGTAGCCAATGCTCATCTGGCAAATCTAAGAGTTCTGAATAATCATTCTGGGCCCTTTATACAACGTATGTCCGGCCCACCTTGGAGTTTACCAGTATGGAACCCACATCTGAAAAAGCACATTCAGAAACTGGAGAAAATGCAGTTTGCAACATGGGCTATTCCTGTGCTAAGAGGCAAGAGCTATGAGGAGAGGCTAACAGAAGTGAATCTAATGTTACTGGAGGACAGAAGAGCCATGAAAAATATTATATGATCAGTATGTTCAGAGTAATTGATACGGTAGACAGGGATGGACTGTTCAAGAGAGGAGAAATGGGAATTCAGGGACACTGCTGGAAATTAAAGGAAAAGGTGATGTTAGGAAGTATTTCTGGTCTCAAAGTGGTCAGCAAGTGGAATGATCTTGGTGACAGGTGGAGGTAGGCTCCATACATAGTTTTAAGAAGGTATGATAGGGCCCACAAGGGTAAGAGGGAGTGAATCTGGAGAGTTATTAAGAGGTTATTATATTTATGGAAAGTGCTAAACCCAGAGGGGCCATACAGTGCCAGCAGAATGGGAGGTAATCAAGTTTGATCCAAGCAGAGGGCAGCTCTATTTCCTTGGATCACAAGTCCTTCATGAACATCAAGATATTCTTCTTTGTTAAAGTCATAGCAAGCTGCTGTATGACAAGATACTCGTATTAATTTGCAGAATTGTACAGCACAATGTTACAGGCACTAGCACAAGGTTATTTGTAGATGAGGAGATATTGTAGTTGCTAGCATAAATGAAAAAAATCAATGCATTCATAACATATGAATTTGGAAGAAAAAGACTTGGCCAAAAATACTGTAGAGTATGTACTGAAACAGTTATAAGCCAAGTTCCTAGGAAGATAAGGTGACTTGGAAGAATGAAGAAATAACTTCAAATAAATGCAAAATATATTCTGTGAAATAATTTATAAATCAGAGAGATTAAAAAAAAATGGCTGACATCACTGGAAAGGAATGGCCCATTAACCCTCAGAGGAGAGTCCAGACCCACAATCTGAAACTTGTCCACAGGGTCCAAGAATTTTCCAAAAAAATTTTTGTTGTTTCTTATGAAATGGTAGAGAATCTTTTTCTGAAGGTAATAAAAAAAAGAAAAATTGATGAAATTACGCTCTCGCGAATTTTGCTGCATCAGCAATATTTGCACATTGACGATTTTGCCCAATCTGACTCCCATTTTAAGCCAATTACATTATTCCAGTCGACCGAGTGTTTAGTTATTTCGCTAGTATTATTTCTATTTTATCAACTAAGCACAAGAAATTGCCCAATCAACTATTTCAACTATCCAATAAGGTCATCGAAAATTGGTAATTTGACCAGTTTCACACAAAGCTCAAAATATTCCAATTTCAAAATAAGGTCCAGAATAAACAATGCGGGCATTCCTGGCACTAAAATAACATTTCCTCGGTTTATTAGTTATGTTTCCAGGCCTTACAAATGAATTCCACTTCGATTTTTTATTCACAACATAAAATAGAAAATTTACTCTTATGCAATATTTTAATAACTGCATAAATAATATCAGCGCATTCATGAATGCACATCAGACCCACCAGCTGGCATGTATTGGATGTGTGATATGATTTGTTTATCCTTGAACAAAAAAAATCGAACATTTCTGCTAATTTGAGCTCAGTTTCATGCCATTTTTGGTACTAAAACCAATCAAAATAATCTATTTCTGTAATATATCTTCAATTCCATCAAATGAGACCAAGAAACCGTGAATGCAACTGTAAAACAACATACAAAAATACACCACAATGTCACTACTTTTTTAATCCAAAAACCACAGTTGCAATTTTTTTTTTTCCTCATTATACACTGCATGCTGCAGGATTTGTTTTATATGATGCACACTTACCACACAGATGCATTCTCTCTTATCTAGGCCCAAATTTACCACTCGCAGATTATTTGAGTGAGCTGAGCTCATGGCATAGAACTATGGCTTGGACCTAGGCTTCGAAGCCACAGAGCTATGGGATAGACCATCAAAGGGTTAATAGCCACCATCATTATTTAATAGACAGTATATGCATATTGCTTCCACCATGCTGCACTAAAACTAAACTACAGGAGGCAAAACACTTCCACAGTGAAAAGAATTTTACCAAGTCTACCTTATTATGTTTAGAGTAACCATTAATAGCAGTAGACTTCCAAAAGTCAGAGGTATAACCCCGAGAAAATTAAACATCAGCATAAAAGAAGGAAGTGAAAACTACATGGTTGTATGTTACCACTGATTCTGTGTCCTATCAGAGTAAATATTTTACATAAGCAGACAGTTTTCATTATTTACAAAGATTTCAGCTATGTAGTATATCACCAAGAATGATCAGCTAGGTGTTATACATTCAAATAAATATTTCTGTAACCAAAAATTCTTAGGAATATCCAAAATTTTGACATTAGCATACTATATAAATACACTTGATATTAAATGTTATCACCCATAAGAGTGCTGAAGACCATATCACTGCACTATGACAAAAGAATCAGTGGTAACATAATATGGTTGCAACAAGGTGAACCTACTACTGTAAACATATCCCACATTACTTACGAATACGGCACACAGCCCGGTGACAACCTATCAAGAGGAATATTCCTTCTTAGATCCATTACTAAAGTTTACTCTTAAAAAAATACAATTCCTCACAACAGCTTCATGTTGGGGGGACACTTGGCAAAGGAATTAAAGTATGAAGTAATTCATACTAAAATTATTGAAAAAAAAAAAAATTGAATAAATTTAGAGTACTGCAGATTTACCTTTAATAAGTTAGTGTTTCATCACCTAAGAAGAAATGATTGACTTAGGGTTAATTTTTACAAACTATATCTACACCATAAGCATGGATGACCAGTTAATTAGTGTAGAGAGAAGAGAAGAAAATCAAACTTTTCAACCCCCGCACACTGCATACCTAAAATAATAGCAACAGCAGCAAGCAATACAATGTTTAATTGGAGAAAACAAATGTATTACTGTACATCAAATAATAGTAGCAATCCAAAAAAAAATTACTTTACACTATCATGCTTTTTTTTTTATTTCAAGTTAATACTGGCCAAATCCTTACTAAAATTTTGTTTTGTGGCACACCACCAATAAAATATTAACTGCCAGGTTCCCAAAAGTTTTGAAACATTTATTGAACATTTCTAAGTGTTTTAACTACCAATTTTGTACTGTAGCTAGCATTTTCTTGCACTGAACAAAAACCATTCATAAGGATGGAGAGGTTGTGAAGAAAGGAAAACAAAGATACATAAATACAAAATAGAAATACTCATCTCAAATGATACCGTACTGTAATATCACTGACCCCACAATAACAACCATACAGTGGGAAAAAAAAAAGTAATTTAATTATCTCCTCATGTTTCCATGAGTAATCAAACCCAACCAGTATACTATAATGAGCCAATCACTGAAACTGATCTTTTTCTTATTTATACAATACCACACAAGTAAGGGGTGGGCAACACATTTCTCCTGATTTCATTTTATTAATATGGTACAAGTCATCCACTAATGATGATATTATAGACAAATCAGTAATTGCACTCTCATCCATTCCTACATTCAGCATGTCCCATGGCACATTTTGTCCTCTACTAAATGTACCACTTCTTTCACACACAATAAAATATCTGTTAGCTAAACGATACAAGCTGTCTACATTTATTTTGAACGCACCATCCATTTCATACCAAAACAAAGGAACATTCACCATCACATATTCCCCAGAGGTCTTTCCAAGAGTGCATGGACAATGGCATAATCAACAGCTTTAGTTTACAAACTGCAACATCAAATGGGTAATAATAACATTAACATAAATCTCCACTCTGGATTTCTTCCTTTTGATACCTGCCTCTTCCAGTACTGTACACTGTCAAATGTTTTTATACTCATAATACACCCAACACTTGAGTTGCCCCTGACTATTTCCACCACATCTACTACCCTGACTTCTGGCTTTTACAATTTTCCTACTATATTCCCAATTTGATAATCAACAAGGACCAAAATATCACCCAATTTACATTTCTAATTATTGGTTCTCTGTGATTCCCTAATGTTTCCACCTTCATTAAAGCAATTTTTTGTAAATTAAAACATTATTAAGCAGGGACTTACTGTTATAGAGTTTTAAACCAAAGCACCATTAAAAGAATATGATATTATCTGAACCCATTTCAAGTATATACATGCCACTGTCACACATTTCAATGGCTCTCAAGGTTTTGGTCCATATGGGTGTACTTTATAAATAGCAAACACAAATGATATCTGATCACATTCAATGCCTTACAAGTCTAACTACTCATACAGGAAGGCAAACACCTCCCTGGCATGGCCCTTTCAACATATAACTTTTCCAAGGCTTCTGGAATCTTTAATTCATATACAGTATGTTATGTTCACATATCTACAGAATGACTAAATATAATTCAATTCTAAATTTTGCTAAGGAACTGTTCAGCTTGCTTTACCACAGCAGGATAAAACTTACTTAACAATGAAAAGATTCCAAATACTGTTACATACTAAATGCTCTGCCTCCATCTGCTGATAAAAGGCAAAGTTCAAAACTATCTCTGTGTTACTCTTTTGATGGTGTTTTTCCACCCCTTGTTACCAAAACTAACTCTGTCTTACTTCTTGGATGGAGAGTTGTCCATACGACGGTACTGCTCCATGATCTTCTCCTCTAGTTTCTCCTTCCCACGACGTAGATTATTCAGCTTGTCACTGTGCAAGTAAAGTGCATTTCTGAATCAGGATAAAATACATGGAAATGACAAAATTATGATCAAGTGCTTTGATTTTTTTTTTCTTCAACAAACTGTGCATATCCCACCGGGGCAGTGTGATGTAAAAAGAAGAACCAAAGTTTTTCTTTTTAAATTTAGTAATTCATACAGGGGAAAGGGTTACTAGCCCCTTGCTTCCGGCATTTTAGTCGCTTCTTATGACATGCATGGCTTACGGAGCAAGAATTCTTTCAACTTTTATGTAATTAAAACAGACATGACATTAAAAAAATAATAATAAAGGAATATTTACGTGAAATTTTTCTCTTCTTGATGAAAATGCTGTTTGTCTTCTAATGTTTGAGTTAGGAGGTCATGGTACTGGGTCAAGAGGAGGGACACCTGTGACATAAGGGATCGTCTGTCCTCCTCGAGTGTCATGTTTAAAGTCTGAAGCACCTATAAACATATACAAAATATTGTAAGAATAAACATATAGTGTCTCCATGATATTCAGCTAATCTAATGGGAATTGTACAAGTGCTAAGTATATCACAACCAACAGACCAGAGTAAAGACACATGTGCAACACTTAAGACATTTTATTAAGAAAACATTCTGTTCACCAGTGACTTTGTCAACTCTATCATAAGATCTAACAGAGGGCTAACAAAGCCCTAAGTGGGCAAAATATTTCCATAAAATATCCAAATTGTTACATGTGTCTTTGCCCTACAGCATGTGGGGCAGTCAAAAATATAATGAGAATACAAAACATAAACTTTACCTATGCAATAGTTTCACAGTACAGTGGACCCTCGGTTTTCGTGTTTAATCCATTCCAGAGCGATCGGCAAAAATGGAAAACGGAAACCATGTTCCCCATAAGAAACAATGTAAATCCAATTAATCCGTTCCAGACACCCAGAAGTATTAACAAAAAAAATTTTTTATACCTTAAAGATAGATTTACATGCACAAAAGAATGAACACTCAACATGACACTTACCTTTATTGAAGGCTGTTGTCGATGGATGGAAGACAGGAAGGAGGGAAGAAGGAAGAGAGGTTATTGTTTGGAAGGGGAATCTCCCTCCATAAGGACTCTAGGCACCAAGTCCTTATCAGGGGTCACTTCCCTAGTTTAAATAAAGATTTACATGCAGAAAAGAATGACAAACAAATATAAAGCACTAATAAAATGCATAATTGTACATTTAACATAACACTTGCCTTTATTGAAGACTCTTGTTGGTGTATGGTGGAGGGGAGAGGGAGGCTAGGTATTGTTGGAGAATATAACACTAATATCAAGTCTACGGCTGATTTATCTATCACAATTCAACTAATATGACATAAACAATATTAATAACAGAAATACGACATATACTCTAGAATGAATAAAGTAAGTCATTATGTATGTCACGAGAAATGTTCTGTTGTTGTTGTTGGGTGTATAAGGGCCACTGAGAGCATAAGCTGTACATAGTGGTAGTGAAGGCAGCAGCTGAGGCAGCGGTGTTTTCTGTAGCCCTATATAACTCCAACAACATTGGAGGAGTTAGTAGAATCACCAAATCATTGAAGAAGGCACCCTCTACCACCATCACTACCACCCTTTACCGCCATCACTATCTACCACCATCACTACCATCCTCTACCACCATCACAACCACTACTACCCTCTACCACCCTCTACCACCACCACTTTCGTATTTTTCTACAAACTTTTTCTTGAATTCTATCGTGTTTCTCAGATTCTTTACCAAAGGGCTGGCACTAGAAGCTTTCTTTGGGCCCATGGTGGCTTATTTAGCAGTCACACATAAACAAGTGCCAAAAACAATGGATTATTACGAAATGTTTCGTATGACCTTGCAGGATATGTTCACTCACCGAGAAACAACACGACACTGCCTGAGAATGAGTAGGAAAGGCGGCTTTGTGTGAGCTCTGGGCAGTGGACAGTTTCTGTACCATTGACGAAAATGGAGGAAATTGACGAAAACGAAACCAACATTTTGATGAAAAAAGTCGGCGGAAACGGTAATCAGTGATAACAGAGATCGACAAAAAGGGAGGGCCCACTGTAATGTAAAATTAAGTTAAAACATGATAATGTAAGTTAAATGGAAGATATTTAGACAAATAACTGACATGCTTTTCATAACTATGGGATTTCCATGTAAGAGACAAATATGTTCTGTAAGCCAGTGTTTGTAACACATGTACCTTTTTGGAAATTATTATTATTACAATAATTATTTAGGCAAAAGAAAAATACCTTTCATATTTTAAAACATTTGGCTTCCTTGAAAGATTTAATATGGGAGGCAATGTAACATTAAACAGAAATAAAAATGAAGATATGAAAGGAAACTTGTCTATTAAAGTATACAGTAGGGCCCTGCTTTTTGGCATTCTTGTAATACATACAAACATTTCAAAATATGACCAAAACTCTCTCTCTCTATGTGGTTCCCCCACCTGACTTTCTAATATGGGCACTGCGGGTCACCTGGTTTGTTTACATTCTCCGTGAGCACGACTCTCCATTACATCCGGAAACTTTAAAACACTTAAAATTTTGGAAAGTTATAGTGGACCCCCAGTTTACGGCCGGTGCAGAAATCATACAATTCAGATTTTGAGCACTTTTTTCAGCGAAATTTCTCCCTGGGTTTTGTACATTGGCTCGGAAATCGACAGTACCAGACGCGTCTACCTGGGCCACTCATATGTTCGTGACTCACTCTTGGGCACATTAAATGTCTTATTTTACATTAATATAGACATTTTCATTAATCCATCTATGATATTTTCTTCAAAATTATGTAAGAAACACATTACATACTCGTTCACTAAGAGTGTCCTTCTAGTCTTAACGTCATAGTAATACAGTGGACCCTCGCCTAATGAATGCATCGCATAACGTTAAATCCGCCTAGCGATACATTTTAACGCAAAAATTTTGCCTCGGCTAGCGCTAAAACACTCGCCCAATGCGATTCGTTCCGTTCAAGACGTGTCCATGTGTGGCCTGAGCACGCCTCACTTGTCCCGTGGGTTCCAGTGTTTACAAGCCAGCCACCGCAGTCGCATCCAAGCATACAATAGGAACATTTCATATTATCACAGTGTTGTTAGTGATTGTACCTGCAAAATAAGTCACCATGGGCCCCAAGAAAGCTTCTAGTGCCAACCCTACAGGAAAAAGGGTGAGAATTACTATGGATATGAAGAAAGAGATAATTGCTAAGTACGAAAGTGGAGTGCGTGTCTCCGAGCTGGCCAGGTTGTATACGAAACCCCAATCAACCATCGGTACTATTGTGGCCAAGAAAACGACAATCAAGGAAGCTGTTCTTGCAAAAGGTGCAACTTTGTTTTTGAATAAGAGATCGCAAGTACTCAAAGATGTTGAGAGACTGTTATTGGTGTGGAAAAATGAAAAACAGATAGCAGGATATAGCATCTCTCAAGCGATCATATGTGAAAAGGCTAGGAAGTTGCATGACGATTTAATTAGAAAAATGCCTGCAACTAGTGGTGATGTGAGTCAATTTAAAGCCAGTAAAGGTTGGTTTGAGAGATTTAAAAATTGTAGTGGCATACATAGTGTGATAAGGCATGGTGAGGCTGCCAGTTCGGACCAAAAAGCGGCTGAAAAATATGTGCATGAATTCAAGGAGTACATAGACAGTGAAGGACTGAAACCTGAACAAGTGTTTAATTGCGACAAAACAGGCCTGTTTTGGAAGAAAATGCCAAACAGGACCTACATTACTCAGGAGGAAAAGGCACTCCTAGGACATAAGCCTATGAAAGACAGGCTTACTCTCTTGATGTGTGCTAATGCTAGTGGTGATTGGAAAGTGAAGCCTTTATTGGTGTATCACTCTGAAACTCCCAGAGTGTTCAGGAGAAACAATGTCCTTAAGGCTAATTTGTGTGTGATGTGGAGGGCAAACAGTAAGGTATGGGTCACTAGAGACCTTTTCTAAGACTGGTTACACCATGCATTTGCCCCCACTGTGAAAAATTACCTCCTGGAAAATAAATTGGACCTTTAGTGCCTCCTGGTATTAGATAATGCTCCTGGTCATCCTTCAGACCTGGCAGAGCGACTTTCTGGGGACATGAGCTTCATTAAGGTCAAGTTTTTACCTCCTAATACCACTCCTCTCCTGCAGCCCATGGACCAGCAAGTCATTGCAAACTTCAAAAAACTCTGCACGACAGCTATGTTTGAAAGGTGCTTTGTAGTGACCACAGAAACTCAATTGACTCTAAGAGAGTTTTGAAGAGATCACTTTAGTAAGGCATGGGAGGAAGTGACTAAGAGGACCTTGAACTCTGCTTGGAAGAAACTGTGGCCAGAATGTGTAGACAAAAGGGATTTTGAAGGATTTGAGGCTAACCCTGAGAAGTGTATGCCAGTTGTGGAATCAATTGTGGCATTGGGGAAGTCCTTGGGGTTGGAGGTTAGTGGGGAGGATGTGGAAGAGTTGGTGGAGGAGGACAATGAAGAACTAACCACTGATGGGCTGCAAGATCATTTTCAACAGCAAGAGGCCAGACCTGAGGAAACTGCTCCGGAGGAGGGGATAGAGAAATTGAGAATGTTGCCTACTTCAAAGATTAAGGAAATGTGTGCAAAGTGGCTTGAAGTGCAAACCTTTTTTGATGAAAATCACCTTCACACAGCTATTGCAAGCCGTGCTGGTGACTATTACACTGACAATGTTGTGACCCACTTTACGAAAGTCATAAAGGAACAGGAGGTACAGGCCTCTATGGGCAGACATGTTGTGCGACAGAAGTTCAGTGACTCTCAAGCTGGTCCAGTGGCATTAAAAGAAGAATGGAAGTAACCCTGGAAAAGGACTTGCTACCTCAAGTCCTATTGGAAGGGGATTCCCCTTCTAAACATTAACAACATCCACACTCTTCCCTCCTCCCATCCCATCAATCATCACCAGATCTTCAATAAAGGTAAGTGTCAGCATGTGTGTATTAAAATTAATATTTCATGTGGTAAAAAAAAAAAAAAAATTCATACTTTGGGGTGTCGAACGGATTAATTTGATTTCCATTATTTCTTATGGGGAAAATTAATTCAGCTAACGATAATTTCAGCCAACGATGAGCTTCCAGGAACGGATTAATATCGTTAGCTGAGGGTCCACTGTACTCTGATAATTATACTTATGTGTACCTGTACCTAAGTAAGCGATGCTATCGGTATCTGATAAATCCAGTAACCGATGATTATATTGCAGAAAATTTGCCTCACTTCCCGATACAAAACCCGGTATGCGATGTGGTTCGTACGAGACGTGTCCATGTGTGGCCTGAACTGCCCCGTGTGTGCCAGTGTTTACAAGCCAACCAGTGTGCGTGCATCTAAGGATACATTTGGTACATTCCATATTATCACTGTTTTTGGTGCCTGTTTT